CTCTTCAGGTCACGACAAAGAAAGTGTTGCAGGGCAAAAGGAAAAGCAAGAGAGGCCAGCTAAGCGTACATATAGTCAACTTGGTCTTATCCAAGAGGTATGCGATTCTAGAAGATTCAGCTGTAGATGACTGACACATGTCAGCAGATCCAAGGTGATCCCTTTCTTAGACCTAGCTCAGATATGTGTATAAAAGTGCTTCAAGCTCTATTGTATTAGGTTAAGAAATAATGAATGAATAAAAGTATTTTCTTCTTCATAAGCTTTAGCTATCAGATTGTTATTTCTTACAATTCGATTGTCTTACTTAAAACACTCGCCGATGCTATTGCTGGATCTTGATCTATGTTCATTGAAGTATTTCTTGTTTCCATTCTCTTAAGTGCAATCATGTGTTTAGAGATTTTTTTCTTTGCCTTCTTCCGCAAATTAACATATGCTTTAACCTCCTTCTCTACGTACGCCACTTTTCCTACGAAGAAGAGTCGATTTGAGATTCGTCACATGTTCTCTCAGCGAGACAATAGCTTCCCTTGCGGCCTCACATACATCGAGGAACAAAACGGATCCATCTAAAGAATCTTCTAGAAGTTCCCCTTTCTTGTGATGAGGAAGAGTGTGTTTCACGTAAGGGGACTCAAGTAGCTTATGCATACAACCGTAGAGCTCGTTGAGGTTCATGAGTCCAACGAGAAGAGTCTCGGACCCAAAAGAAACGGAAACCGAGATCGAGGAAGAAGATCTCTGCCAGATACTGAACCGGTTCAAGGCTGCTCTGAGTTTAACAGAGAATGGATGGATTCTTGAAGGAAGACTCACTGATCGAACTGGTTGATGTGTGGTTTGACCAATCAAGAAAATTGAATCTAAACCATCCATGGATATTTTTTTCTTTTTCAAAACCCTTAAAGTAGGTTTGAGTCTTTGAGATGCTCTATTAGGGTTCTTGAGGGTTTCTATATATATTGCTGACAAGCTTAAGAACAGAGAATTCCTCGGGTTAAACAAAGTGGGAATATGTGAATAGAACATGTTTCTAACATGAAATATAATCATTAGTTATGGTTAGTGACTCTTGTAACTCATTTTCCTCTTTGTCTTCTTCTTATGCATCTATATAACTTTGTTTTACAGATTTATTTTTAAAATCAATTTCTTGTTCGTTTCTTTTCGATACTAACTGTTTTTTTGGTTACTAGTGACAGGATAAATATATTTTGGCTTAAAGAGATCTAAAAGTGTGTCCGGCTTCAAAGAACCAATGCTTCTCTTCTTTGTCTTAAGTTACAAATGCTTTAATAAAATGATAAATAATAATTTTGTAACAAGAGAAGGAATCTTCAGGTAAATAAATAGTACGTTTCAAATTAAATAATACTTTTCAAAACAGAAATAACTAGTTTTGATCGCCTAGCTAGGGCAAAATAACCAAAAAAAAAAAGCAATTACAACTTGTATTTAGCAGATTGTAATGTAAATAATGATACATACGACACTATATAATATGTTATTTATTTTTAATCAACATATAAGAAATTGTAGTAATGATTTCAAAAACTAAAACCATCGATGTGAAACTCAAATAAAAGGGTCCATACTTTAGTAATAAGTGATTTTAATAATAATAAGAGTGTAACATTTCGTATGTATATTATATGATGTTGACAGAGAAAGATAACATTCAACCTCGACAGCAAGAAATGTGGCTAGAGTTCATCCACATTCTTTAATAGGAAATCATGCTAACATTTTTAAAGCACTCACGCATCAAATTAACGTCATTAGACTTTCCATCGACATATTGACAATCAACTGTAGGTTTCCCTCCATTCACCATAGTAATATCGATCCCATCCATAACGACGTCTTTACAATGTGTGATCTCACTACATCTAAGTATTATAGCATCTTTACTCGATGTCGTTCCGCGAAAACCCACAAAATTTATATCGCTAATCGCCACTGCTGATTCCTATTAAACAAAAATACATATATTTTTCAATTTAATCATACTTTAAAAGAATAGTCATGTTAAAAAAAAGATAAATTATTTACCTCTATAGCATAAGGACGCCCTTTATTTATATAATGTTGGTCGATTATAATTGGATTTTGTGCGTTAATAAGTGTGATATTTTCAAAACTTATGTTTTTTGCATATCCTTCTCCACCCTAGAAAATAAAAATTAAGATTCAAAGTGGGAAATATATAGTGATAATTATTATCAATTTAAATATGGGAGTACTAATTTAAAAGAAAAAAAAATCAATACCGGCCATGTCTTGATTCTAGCTCCATTTTTTGTCTGGTTGAAAGTGCAGTGAGTCACTTGAACATTACTTACTACAGCGTCTACTCCTTGAGCTCCTAAACTTCCCACACTGTTATTTTCCAATTATACAAAAAAATAATTAAATCTCTAAACTTTTTTTTTGGTAAGGTAAACATTTATATTCATATTTATATCAATGGTGTAAACCAAGAAAGTAATTAACATCATGAATTACCTTATTCCATGACCAGGTCCACAATTAATCCTTGTGATGTTGATATTGACAGTTCCGGTGTTGATTGCTATACAATCGTCTCCTAAAAGTTAAATTATTGAAATTCAAATTATTGTTATCCCATCTTCTTATATTCTAAAAAAAAAAATTATTGTTCCACAAGAAAACATTAACAAATGATTCATCTTTTTTTTTATCTAGTAATAAAGCACAAAATGTTACTAGTTTATAACTACGCACCCGTTTTAATTGTCGAGTTGAATATGTTGATACTAGTCGAGGCACTTATATCAATCCCATCTGTATTTGGACTTTGCTCGGGTGCTAAAAGATTTATATTCGATATTGTAACATTTTTGCACGATTTGATTGATATATGATTTTTTGGACTATCAATAGAAGTTATCCCGCTTATCCTAAGGTTATCACACCCTAAAATATGTAACGCCTGGAAAAACAAAATATAATAAACTACTTAATTGAAAATTAGTGGCGATCAAAAGTAAATAGATTTTTTAAAAGCACAGAGTCTATATATATATATACACTTACCGTAGGCCTTTGAGAAATTTTCGAATTTTGCTGAAAATCAAAGAGAATTTCCATAACTTTGATGGAATAATGACCAAAATATATTAGAAAAGGTAACGAAAATTATGTTATCATAAATTGTCACCTCCCAAAAAGATGAACCACGACCATTAATCGTTCCAGAACCAACAATCGTTAGACCCAATACATTTGAGAAATTGATCCAACCGAGGAATTTGTAGCTGAGCCATGCTCCTTTGTTGCTAGGTGCAACAATGACGCCATCCAACTCCAATTATAAGAAAAACCCCAAATTTTAATGATACTACTAATTTAAGTATAATTGTTGACAAAGAAAAACATAACTGTATTTATCACATAAAATTGTAAATTAATTGTCACATACCTGAACTTTAATAGAGCTAGATTTACATGGGCCTTGGAACAAAATAGATTGAGTTAAAAATGTTTTGCCAGCAGGAATATAAAGTGTTTTCATATCTCCTTCTCCATTACATGTGGCATTCCACGATTTCGCAAAAGCCTTTTTTCAGATAAAATAAATAATAAAAAAAATAGCAATTATTAATTCATATCATATTATTTGCTATAAAATAGAAGAAAAAAAAACTAATAACATAATTTACCGTTGAATCATCGGTATGACCATCTCCTTTAGCACTAAAATTAAGTACATTGTAGTTTTGTCCGTTTACAAGTGCAAAATAGAGGAAATTTAGCAAGATCGAAATACGAAGTACATCCTACAAGAAAACAAATGGTTAGAATAAACAAGTACTCAAAATTATTAGTAAGACAATATAATTTGTTGCTATATACCATTGTGAAATGATTATGATGATTATTTATTGAATGTATAGGAAGTGTAGTATGTATCTGTTCCTAGCATCGGTTGTTCAACTCGTTTATATACACAATGGTTTGCATCTACGTACATCTGAATCGTGCATTTGACTTCCCCCTTCCATATATATCTAAATTGTGCCTGAATCGTTGGCCTCCTTAAATGTTAATTATAATATTTTTCTGATTTTTGAAATCATGAAAATATATATTTCCTCTTATAAAATGCTGACTACAATGAAGTCAACAAAAAATGTTGAATACATTGTCTCTAAAGCAATAAATATGTACGTTTTATTCTTTGTTTTTTTTTTGAGAAAAAAATATATACGTTTTATTCAGTACAAGGTCATGATATTTTATTTCAAAAAATATTAGTGATATAGAATTTCGAAATTTGAAATTGGTATAGTGGAAATTGAAGCAAGCCAAAATGCATATTAAATAAAATATCATTAAACTACATAAGTATGCTATATAATCCCATTAGTATATTGAAAGTGCATTATCTAAAACTTCTAAAAACTTTCTAAGTATTTCAGTTTCACGAACTAGTTTGTTTGGGCGATTGTGTATCTAGTTTAGAGCTTTAATCAACATGAACCCTAATTGTCGGGTAAAAAATCCAAAAGCAGTAGTACTAGACCCTTAGGAAGTTCAATAAATTAAATAATTTTGGACGTTTGAGGATTAAAATTGACAAAAAAATCTATATATTAAAACTTACTAAAGATGTTAATTATATATTTTGTTTTTCCAGCGAAAATAATAGTCAATAGGCAATAGCAACCAAAATTTGTTTTGGCGCTTGTAGCCTTCACATTTTTCAGGGCTGGTCATGCTCTCTCTTTGGACATGGAAGAAATTTTGTATAGAGCAGTTTTTTTCTTGTCAAAGATCGTATAGAGAACTTAAGGGTTAGGCAAGTTCAGAATCGTTGATACAATAGTTTGTGGCTAAGGTGAGACTAGGATTCGTAGACATATTAGATCCATAATGAATGTACACTACAAAAAATCATGCTTGTTGCATCATATAAATAGTATCACAAAATAAAATGACATTGATTTGAATTACTTATTAATAAATGATGCAAAAATATATTATTTAACATCAATTATTATATTGACGTTGTTATTGACTTGTTTTACATCGTTTCAATAAAAATGATACAAATTTCTATTAATTTACATTACTTTAAAAATTTGATACAAAAATATTCATTTACATCAGTTATTTAACTAATGTACTTATTAATATCATTTAAAAAATGATATAAAATTTATATCAATAAAAACGATGTTAATTATGAGATTTAGTTTCAATTATAAAAAAGTCATGTAATGATGAGATAAATTGTATTTTTCGTTGAATGAAAGTTTCTAATATTTTCCTTGCTCCAATAAATGATTTCAGTACTAGTATGTATATAAGATTACTGTAATTTGTATTC